ACATTATTCTGAGAATCCGATGTTCCATAGACGAGGGAGGATTGATTTGGATGAGCAGAGATGGAGAGATCAAAAAATGTAAAAGAGAAGGTATAGATCTCATATGGGGCAGACTGCAACAAAACCAGACAAAGTGAACATTTGATCATGTGAGCCAAAAGAGGCTGATGTGGCTGGAAAATCAACTAATTTAGCTGATGAACATTTTGGTGAGGCTTCTCTTGATTTATAGCTGTGGCTTATGCCCAAATCTAGAATATTTTTTAGTGACATTTTAGACCTATTTCTATGTTATAAGCGAATGCGACTAACATCCGGGTATAAAAGCAAGGTGAATTCACTTTCGTCAAAACAAAAACACTTGCTGCAAGTTGTTTTCAACTTACACAAAAAGACTGTATCAAATCGCGAACAAAACATTTGAATTTTCCAAAAAGCTTTTATTCAAATAATAATAAACATGGTTCGTTGTATTCATCTTCTAACAAGAGTCTGCATGTAAACAAGAATGCTAACTGATTTCCGTTTGTAGAAGTTTCTCTACGAAGTTGCAGAAGCTTTTATGCTTTCGCTTTGCCTTGCTTTGGTGTTTGCCAACAAGATCAACTGGCATGCAGTTTTTACCATTGCATACTTTTCATATACCAACAAACTGCTGCACATAATGTCCTGCTTGACAAACTCAATGTTATTGAAGAGAGCCTCTGCGAAGTACGAGATAATCTCGAGTGGTTCAAACCAAACAACAAACATCGCTCTCCGAAACCAATCAAATCATACGAGAGAGACATTTTAATTCTCTGGAACAAATTTACGCAACTCTTTGATGCAAAGAGAAAACTTGACAATGGTAGCCTGTACAAAATGTACCGCAAAGTTAAGAATGAGATCGATAACCTAGAGAAGGGTACCATCGGAACGTCTACAGTGGAAATTAATAGCCGGGTACGCAAATAAAAACAATCTGATGTAATCCCCACGTGACTCATTCGGTTAAATTTTCCTGTTGGGATTCGAAATTGGACGTGGTTGCACTTTTTTATTCCAGTAGAGAGGCGTCGTGACGCGTCGTCACTCTTATACTCAAGTCTGATTGATAGGCCGGACCCGTTTTTTATGCAATGACTTCAGTAAAGCAGGTTAGTTACTTTTTATAACAAGACGGGCATGAAATGGCACCTACGCCTGTACGAGCTCCATAACATATGGATTGCGTATGGCCGATGCTTGGCAGGGAATCTTCTGCCAACTGCCTTGACCCGTCAGCTTTGCTGGCCTCTCTTGTGCGTGCGTGGCTGTAGATCTCTGACCAGAGTGTTATTGCTGATAGTGTTCAGTCTTAAATGCTCCACCTTTTTTTTTTAATCCTTGAAATCAGCAAGTTTTGGTGCTAATCATTACTTTTCATTGCCTTGGAGGTGATCTCAAAATATTTTAGGGAAACTCCCCATTCAACTTGGAGTATTTTAAATATTCTCAAATTTATATCCAAATATGCTGAAATACATGAAGATGAGGACGAGATGTTTAAGCTGATCAATCAAAACTGCATTTGATCAGCAGTGGGTGCTACGTATTATTGCACGCCAGAACAAAAGCCACTGGTCTGTTTGAAAATTTTGATAGATCAGTGAAAAGGAAGGAGGTTCGAAAATGGCTGGAAACAATGCAGGCAAAGGTAATTGAATTGCATAAATTTATAGTTTATTCTCATTGAAATACAATACTGAGAAATTTTTTAGTGTGAATTTAATGCAGAAAAGCTTCTGTATCATGAACAATTGAAGACAAATGTTTTGGCTGACAAAAACATTGCTATACATGACCCAAAGGTATGTAAACAACATATTAATTCTTGATATCACATTCTGAATCCCTTGTGCAATGTAGATTTCCATCTGCGACTTTGTCCATGAAGTGTGAAATAATTGGAACAAGTGAAAAGAAGCTGTCGAAGATAGTGAGGAAGATCCTGAGAAAAGAAAACGAAGAAGACATGTAAAGTAGATTGGTTATTTTGATTGGTAATTTATTCAGCTGACTGTTTTTAATAGTGTGTTTCTATATTGCATCAGAGCATTGAAGAGGAAATAAATTTTCAGGTTGATGAGGAAACAAATTCTCAGCTCGATGATGAGCAAACCAACCTTAACTGGGTAATGTTTCTCAGGAATTTGTATTGAATGCTGATAAGACATTAGCTCAGAATTTCTTAAATTAGGACTCTGATGAGAGCAATGAAGAGGGGGAAACTTGCAACCTGGAGAATTGTTCCAACACTAATCTTGTCAGAAAGGTTCAGTAGATTTATTATGATCTTTCCTTAGTTGCTTGAATTAGAGAATAATGCATGCTCTTTGACATGGCAGCCATCCCATCAAGAAGAGCTGGGAATGATGGTAAGTACTTGTAAACTTTCCTTTGCAACATACAAATTATGAAATATATTCTGATGATATTTATTATTATGGGTTTTTTGCTACATAGGAGTCGACTGTAAAGTCCCTGCAAGATATACTGGGATTCCGATTTCAATGCTCAGTGACAATGAAACTGATTTTGGAACTTCATTGTGATCTCCATAAAGCTGATGATTTAATCGACTTGTGACCAGACTCCAGTTTTGTTAAGCAAATGCCTCCCACAATCCTGACACCATATCTTAAGGAACTTGACAGCAGAATTGAGAGTCTGATTCCAGTGAATGTACATGATTTCCTGGTAAATTTTTTTAAAGATGACCTGTCTGCCAGTGATTGGCAGATGAAGATCAATGACCTATGTTGTCCTAATAAGAATGACTGGTTGATGGTCATGACTGTGCGCATTCTGTGCAGAATGTTGCCAGTGTTGTGCATACAATCTTTTTTTCTTCAATATAACTGTTATACTGACCAAATTTTTTTTGCAGTGTAATGGCATTTTCATCAAAACCACAAAACCCTCTGCTCAATTTGTGTATGCTGGAGAAGCCACATTTGAACTCTTATGTGCACCCATGTCTACAGGCTGCTTTATGGTATATTGTAATTGGATCAGTCAATTATGAGTTTGGGGAAATCACCTCCAAGAATCATGTGAAGCGTCAGTGTGCTGATGCATAAAATACAAAACAAAGCTTGCATTTCAAGCTAAAGTTAATGTATTTAACAGTGTCATTATTACAGCAACTTTTAAGATAACTTCGTGTACATAGTACAATGCCTCTTTCAAAAGAAGAAACACAGCGTCAGACTATATTACAATTGTGGAATAATGGCATTCGAAATGCCAAACAAATCCATACACAAACCGGTATTGCGCT